TTTCTCAGTTGTACAGCAATATGCTCTTTTTCTCTGCAATCAGAAACATGATAGTTGTAAAACTGATACTGTAATCTTTCATATCTGATCATTTTTACTGAATTAGTAATGAATTAAGATCATTATCTCATCTTAAGTGTGAAATATCCAAATGCTATTTGTGGCCTACAGTGAAATGGTTGTCCTGTGGTGACTGTTTGAATGGGCAGGCCTACAAGAGCCACACTCTCATAATCAGGTTAAATCAAATTTATTTGTGTATTTTCACAATACACATCATTTCAAAGCTCGGCGATAGGACTGGAATTATATACAGCAACCATTGCATAATGCTACTGAGACAACTGGACATTAGCTTCAGTACATTTACAATGCCAGTATTGTTTTTAATTTATTAAATAAGTAAATTAATTGTCAGTTTTCAGTCTTTTAGCTGACAGACCCCACATATGATCATCCTGGTGCAAGGGAACCCTATACTAAAAATTTTAAAGGCAGCTGAATCAGTGCAGACAGGACTGAAGATTCCCACGGTGGAGCAGAAGACCACCACAACAGAGCAGAGGGAGCTGAAGACTACCAGAGCACAACTGGTGGAGCTGGCGACTCAAACCCTTAGCAGATCGGATGGCTCGAGATCATCAGGAGTATTCGCTGGCTTGAAATCACCTGGATGAGTAACTGGCTTGAGGATGACTGGAGTGTCGGCTGACTTGGGGCCAGCTGAGAGATGGGTGTCTGGGGGGGTCGGCTAGACAGAAGACTCAGGAACGACCTCCGTGGTCATATCAGGACAGACAGGAAGTTCGGGAATGACCTTCTTGGTTGCCTCATGACATACAGGAAACTTGGGAAAGACCCTCTTGGACAGACATGAAATTTGGGAGCAAACACCTCCACTTCGCTATGAGTGGGAGAGCAGTGTGTGGCCCAAACACATTATGGTTAGCGCCGTAACAGGGAGAACAATCAGTGGCAGAAAAGACTCTGAATCCTCCAAGCTTAAAACAATCTGGTTGGGCACTGACATAATGGATTTGATATCAGGAGACTCAGGTATAGCACTCATGATAGTGGGAGACTTGGTGGCCCTGTTAATTGCGGATTCTGGAGGTAGAACAGGTATTGTGCCAGGCTCTTGGACGAGAACAGGCACTGGGTTGAGCTCTGGGATGAGAGCAGGCATTGGGCTGAGTTCTGGGATGAGTGCAAACCCCTTACTGAGTATGGGGAATTGAATGGGCTCCTGGCTGAACTCTGGAGTGGACTCCTGGTCTGGAGGGAATTCTTGTACAGACTCATGGTCTGGAGGGAAATTTGGAGTAAACTCACAGATAGAAATGGACTCTTGAACAGATTCCATGGTTAGAGCGGGTTCCGGTGCAGACTCAGGGCCGGAGTGGGCTTGTTACTGAACTCTGGGGCTAGAGCGGACTCATTACTGAACTTTGGGACTGGAGAGAACTCAGGGCTGAACTCAGGGGCTGAAGCCATCACTAAACTGTGGTCAAGGGCTGGAGCCATCACTGGACTCTGGTCAAGGGCTGGAGCCATCACTGAACTCTGGTCAGGGACTGGAGCCGTCACTGAAATGGGCTCCTGGCTGAACTCTGGAGTGGACTCCTGGTCTGGAGGGAATTCTTGTACAGACTCATGGTCTGGAGGGAAATTTGGAGTAAACTCACAGATAGAAATGGACTCTTGAACAGATTCCATGGTTAGAGCGGGTTCCGGTGCAGACTCAGGGCCGGAGTGGGCTTGTTACTGAACTCTGGGGCTAGAGCGGACTCATTACTGAACTTTGGGACTGGAGAGAACTCAGGGCTGAACTCAGGGGCTGAAGCCATCACTAAACTGTGGTCAAGGGCTGGAGCCATCACTGGACTCTGGTCAAGGGCTGGAGCCATCACTGAACTCTGGTCAGCGACTGGAGCCGTCACTGAACTCTGGTCAGAGGTTGGAGCCATCACTGGACTTTGGTCAGATGTTGGAGCCATCACTGAACTCTGGTCAGCGACTGGAGCCATTACTGAACTCTGGTCTGGGGCTGGAGCCATCACTGGACTTTGGTCAGAGGTTGGATCCATCACTGAACTCTGGTCAGCGACTGGAGCCGTCACTGAACTCTGGTCTGGGGCTGGAGCCATCACTAGGCTATATTCTGGAGCGAACTTTTAATCTGAGTGGAATTCTCATACGGACTCAAGGACTGGAATTCAATTTAGAGTTATTTCAAAGGCACAAGTGGGCTCTGATGTCGAATCAGGGGTTAGTGTGGGCTCCCATGTAGATTTAGAGATTGTGACTGCCTTGATACTGATCACTGGGGCTGAAGCAGACTTGTTACTGAATCCTGGAGTGGACTCATAACCGAACTCTAGGACGGGATTAAATTCAGGGGCTGTAGCAGGCTCATGACTGAGGTGGAGGAAATGAGCGGATTCTGCGGCTGGAGCCAACACTGGAGCTGACTCAGGGGCTGGAGCTGACACTTGAAAGGAATCTATCTATCTGTCTATCTGTCTGTCTGTCTGTCTGTCTTTCTGTCTATCTGTCTGTCTATCAATCTGTCCATCCATCCATCCATCCATCCATCCATTAGAAGTTAATAGAAACCAGAACTGTTTTGTTGCCTACATTCTTCAATATATATTTTTTTGTGTTCCACAGAAGAAATAAAGTCATACAGGTTTGGAACAACATGTGGGTGAGTAAATGATGACAGAATAAAAATTTTTGGGTGAACTATCCCTCTAAATATGTCTGTAAGTTGTTTACTTGAGTTCATCTGTAACCATTAGGGCCACAATGGTTTCTAGTGACGTATATCTCTGCATATTCTGTTATTGATTTGGAAGTCATTTTTTCATTACGCAGATGGGATCTTAGACCAAGGCACATCACAAATCCTTGGCATTCGGCTTTATACAGATGGTACAATGTGTTAATGAATGTTCTCCATTTTCTTTCTCCAGATTCAACTTTAAATGTGAATGTCCTTGAGGCGCAGAGATGGACGTATTACATCCTATTCCAATTGTACTTGAGATTTGTACTTGAATGTTTATCAGACGATTTGAGTACGAAATCAATTAAATAAGCCTCAATAGAATATAAATAAATAATGCTGCACATTTTGAGGTGACAAATCTTCAGCTGAGAAGCATTGTCTAAACAATTTAACCAGGGCAAAAATATTCAGATCTTCAATGCTTTCTATCTTGCATCCGATCATAATGCAGCAGAAAATGGTGGCTTGCTCCTTTTGTCTACATGACAGAGTCTCAATGTGAACGAGGGGAGACAGTTTTCCCTTGAATTTTAATGGTGTCTCTGATGTTCTCATGTTTATCTCTTTGCAGGTTGTTCTAGATGTCTGAACAGTGCCAATGGGAAAGGGGATGTTTTTTCTCCAGCCCTAGCAACATGCACTGGATTGGTGGATATGACAGCTCACTGTGCCTGCGATTGGCTGTTATTGTGGACCATTTTGAGCAGAGAAATTCATCTCTTGCTCTACTGGGTGTGGGTTGCTGTAGGAGGCTGCAGCAGAATGCTGGAAGAGCTAGCAATTCAGTGTGTAAGTTTGTTTTACCTCCATAATAGATATAAATGCAAAAGGCGCTAGAATGAAGCATGATTTCAGATGGTGCTCATGCAGTTTAAGTGCACGAGCTGACCAAAGTCCACCAGTCACACATCACGTTCATTTCAGACAGCAGATGAGATCCGAGTTTAGCATCAGTGAGACAATTATTCAAATAATTAGTCATGCTGATAATGAATTCAATTGGAGATGTCTACAGGCATGCAGGTTTGACATGTGACCTTCAAATGAAGAGAGTCAGCCATTTCTTTGCAGTTTCTACTCTCATCAAACATCAAATAATTTTTAATGCACGCATACTGTAACTAAAGCCAATAATGTGGTCCTTATCGAGGCACATTCATGTCAAGCATATTATTATATTGTGGAGAGGTGAGCTCTGCAATGCAGTGCTGAACACTAATCATGGATAGTAGGTGCAATGCAGAGAAAAAACATTTGGTCTTCTTAAATTCAGTTGTGGATTCACCACAGTGTCCTGTTGGCATCTTACTTACTTAGATTGGTTGACAAGAACAACAGGACTTGGATTTGATCACACATTGCAAATTTCAAGCTGTAATTCAGTATTTTGAGTAATTGTTCGCTTTTTTTTTTCAATAATAGAAAAACAATACGCACGACCAGCATTGATTGACATGATGCATCTATGACTACTTGAGTTCTTTTTTCTGTCTTTTTATTGTTGTAATAAGTTTGGCTCTTGTGCAACTGCTACATAGTTATTCACATTCAAGATATTGTCACTCAGGATACAGCTAAAAGTAATAAAAAAAAAAAAGAAAGAAAAGAAAGAAAAAAGTCAGGTTACACTTTATTTCGATAGTCCACTTTAGACATTATATTAACTATAAGTAACTTTGTAACTACATGTCAACTACATGTCAACTAATTCTCATTAATTTGCAACTACATGTCTACTAACTCTCAGAGTAGACTGTTAGGGTAGGTTTAGGGTTAGTAGAATAAGTTGACAAAGAAAGTGTTAGAAGATATTAAGCAGACAGTCTACTAATACTCTACTAACTGCTAGTTGACATGTAGTTGCAAAGTTACTTACTGTTAATAGAATGTCTAAAGTGGACTATCGAAATAAAGTGTTACCAAAAGTCAAATAAATAAATTTAAAAATACTGCCAGAGACAATTTATGGTCCATGTTCTGAATCGGACACGGAAACACTGATTTGGTAACGTCACTGTTGTTTAAACCACACGTTCAATGTGCATAATATGACAAAGAAGAGCACTCATATATTGTTCAGAGAGCAAAACATTGCTTAACAATGTCATGGTTACAATTTACCAAGAAAAACACCAGTACATTTAAGTGATCAGTAGTGTTTTTCGAAAGTCAGCCTAGCTAAAGAAAAAACATTCCATGTCACAACGGCAACGCCCATAACAGATTGATTTATTGTTAACAATCACAATTTTGGAATAGCAAATCAAAACGAAAACTGCTAAATTATAAATAAACAATATGAAGCCAGTTTACTTTTCAATTATAGGAATACATAACATCCAAGATATAAGTTAATAAAGTCAAGCTATTGTATAAATACATCACCAGCATGCACAATATTGAATCATTGATAGTATTGTTGTAATTATCTTACACTGACAAAACAGTATACTTGGCATGTGCAAAAATAAATTAAACACAGAAGTAAACCACAAATTTTGAAGCTGCAATATTTTTCTTTTCTTTTCTTTTTTTTAAACCAGATCAGTCTCTTTCTTTTCCCTAACCTGTCCTTCAAAAAAAGTGAATGGTTCCAGTAGTGTCAGACTGTAATGAATGTATGACAATGACTGAACTTTATCTGTTTTGGTGCATTCAAAAGAACATACTTTTATTCAACGCACTTCCATCTAATAGCTATTTAAATTGAATTTCCAGTTCAGTTAATTGAGCGCGTACAGGACGATTCAAACAGATCAACTTGTCACTAATACTGGAACCATTTAATACTATTTTTACCCTTTGAACACCATCTTACCGTCTTTTAGAAATGCTTGTCTACTACCCAAAACATAAATAAGCAGCATCCCTTTGAAATACATCAGTCCATATGCCAGTGTGAGGCTGCCATTCCCAACCAACAACGACCGTTTCCGGCTGATTGACTGACATTTCAGTGGTTTTGGCAAATGTCAAAGAGAACCAAGAAGAGGGAGGCCCATTCAACTATATATATATTTCTGTATATATTCAAACTAGGACTTCAGCCCCCCCTTTACCACCCTCGATATTTTTTTTTCTTTTAACTCGTGGAAAAATAAAGAACTGCTGCTGCAGAGGAAACCATGGCAAAAGCTGCTGCCAAAGTCCACCAGCCATTTTTATATTTCTAGATCTTCTAGAACTTGTCTACTTTTAATTGTTGCCCTCGCCACCCTCATCATCTTGCTGGTCACTCGTCCACAGCGTTAAGTTGTCTCGGAGGAGCTGCATAATGAGGGTTGAGTCTTTGTAGGAGTCCTCATTGAGGGTGTCGAGCTCGGCGATGGCGTCATCGAAGGCTGTCTTGGCGAGATGACAGGCCTGCTCCGGAGCGTTCTGGATCTCGTAGTAGAAGACTGAGTAGTTGAGGGCCAGTCCCAGCCGGATGGGGTGAGTGGGCTGCATGTGCTCTTTGCTGATCTCGTGAGCTTCATTGTAGGACTTCTCAGAGGATTCCACCACGGTGGAGCGCTTCTCGCCGGTGGCCACCTCGGCCAAGTAACGGTAATAGTCTCCCTTCATCTTCAGGTAGAAGACCTTGCTCTCGTGCTGAGTGTCGCTGCAGTTCTTGATCAGGAAGTTATCCAACAGGTTGAGCACGTCTTGGCACACGGACTCCAGCTCCTTCTCAATCTTCTCGCGGTAGGCCCTCACCATCTCGATCTTCTTCTCGTTGCCGTCCGCGGAGGTCTTCTGCTCGATGCTGGAGATGACCCTCCAGGATGAGCGCCGAGCACCTACGACGTTCTTGTAGGCGACGGACAAGAGGTTCCTCTCTTCGTTGGACAAGGCCTCGTTCAACTCGGTTACCTACAAAGGAACGAAATAGAACGCTGTTTGAGGAAAGAGATGTACATCATCCAGCAAGGTAATAGCAAGCTTTCCTTGTTACACAACTAATTCACCAATAAAATTAATGTAAAATGCTTATTTTTCTGTTGCATAATGATAATATCCACAGAGAGCTTCATCATCTGGCTGAATGCATTGTGCAGCCATGAGCTCGAGCTATATGCCAAGTGCAGTTTCCATGGCAATCGTCTCATTTTGTACAGTAGTCCAACTCTATCTAGTGAGATGACAGAGCGCTAGCGCTACACAATACACTAGAGGTGAAATCACTTCAGCCGAGAGTGGGGGCAGGGGCGGGAGGCGAAATGTTCCCACATACCCTCCAGGGCAACTGCAGTGTAAGTTAACACGATCGCTGTGCGGCAATTCATGTGTTACGGTGGCCTTCTCCCTGACCTTTTCTCTTGCCAAACTGGGACGACCATACTACGTAATGTAAAACGAGTTTGATGATGTTTCATGAGAATATATCGTAAATCACTCATGTCAACTACTCATGTCAACTTCTGGTGAAATGTCAGAACCTCTTTGTGGCGCAATTACATATTGGCATGAGTTAATTTGTTTTCTGTACTTAAGTGAAAAGAACTTTCTTAAAAATAAAGGTTTCAAAACGGCGTTTTCGCAGTGATGCCAAAGAAGAAACATTTTGGGTTCCCCAAAGAACCTTTTTTTGGAATGGAAAGGTTCCATGGATGTTCACGGTTCTTCATAGAACCATCAAAGCCAATAAAGAACCTTTATTTTTATAAGTGTAACAATGTGCAGTTAAAAACTCATAACGAAACACAGGCAGGAGGATATGTAAGGGTTTTATTTAAACAAGCTTATTGCTATTTAAGTCTGGTTACACGCGTTCTGTGCAACAATGATTTGGCATGCCTCTCACAGACGGATAGTTGTGGTGGGTGACCGGTAACCTTGTTAACTTGGTAGCCGTGTTACAATCAGATGCCAATATTTACATGATGCCAGCCCTTCACAAATTTAAAGTAAAATCTAGCTGGATGATCTCACTCCAAATGTGAAGTTTGAAGCTTGGCCTATTGCTGTTTGTCTCTTTGGCCGGACGCGTCAAGATAATGGAGGCCTGTGGGCACTTTCCCATTAGGTCTGTGGCTAAATGGGCTTTTATCTATAGGACTGAAGTAACTTTAGAGTCAAATTGCTTTTAAATCTCCCCCACTGATCCATGAAGCTAAAATTGCATACACAACCATCATTGCAAGGATGGGAACCTTCCCTTTTAACGGCCAATTGGGATTTAGACCAAGGTAATATGGCCGTAAGATAATACAACCATTTTAGTAAAATTGATCGGGTGGATCTTGTCTGTCACTTCTCTATTTCCGAATCAATACACTTAATTTAATATTGCACATTTTGGTATTAAATAAAGACTTTATTTTATGTAAAACACTGCTAATGAGTGCCAACACATCTGGTCTAGATTGTAAATTAACATATTTTGCACCCTTATCTATTTCCAGTTCAATTTGAAGATCATTTATTGGAGGTCTAAGAATAAAGAGTATTGAGGTAGTCACATCTACATGTAATTTTTAATTAAGTCAGAAACGTATTACCACGGGTAAGAACCATTCAATCACTCAAGAAATAAGAGATGCTAGACGACACCCCTCCAGAAAAAAAGCATGATGCCAACCCTTGACGAAGCAGAAACGGAGGGGTCCTCCTCAATTTCCATAAGCCTGTGTAAGAATTGTCTCCTAAATGCCCTCACCCTGATGGTAATATAGTCAGGATGCTGACAGTGAAGAAGCGTTAGAGATGCAGATGTTCCCCTTTCCCCTCCTCAAGAAGCCCTAAGGCCTTGAATGTATTCATTATGGTGCCCTGTACATTCACCCACTCAAATACTGTTAAAATATACATAGAAATAATATTCACTATGAATTAAAGAGATCCCATTGCCTTTAATAATCTATAAATCGGTAGGTTTGAAACAAGAAGGAATATCCAATCTGAATCATGGAACTTACTGCAATATGACAAGGATGGAAGATTCTAGAAGGAATGCTGCTGCCTCTAACGTTGGTTTAGAGGAAATATCTTAATATCTCCCATATGTGGATAATGAATATGGGAAGTCATAACTAAATTGTGAGGATGCTTTAGAAAAAAAAGGCAGTTGGAGTTTATATATGCTGGTGATGGAAAATAAATATCTGATGCATTTATGACAGTATGCTTGGGTAATGAACAACAATGACAAAACGCCTATTTCTAGTGTAAAATCAAATACTAGCCATTACACTGCGTTTATGAGCATGAATGTGCAGTTACGCAACACAGCGATTGAAAAAAAAAATAAAGTGCAAAATATTGATTTTTTTTTGTATTTCAATAATGCTGAAAGCGATGTTGAAACATCTTTATACACTGGTCCTGTATCGTCTCATTCATTTGATTGTGGGCTCGGGTAAGGCAGGAGACACCGCCCAAGATCCAGACAGTCTACACCCGATCCACTGCACTCTCATTAATAAAGCACTGATTTACCATAGATGAACACCCAAAAATTTATTATACGACATCAAATTAAAGGCTCCCGTTACATGCCATTATTTTACTGTAACTCAACCTATATGATCATTCACCATTACCATTTTTTCTCCAAATGGATCGAACGTATAGTATGCATAATACGACAATTATATATATATTATGTATTTTATATTTATATATATAATTCTATATTATTTATGTATTGTATGATAGATAGATAGATAGATAGATAGATTTAGCGAACGTTGGTCAAACTAAGTCATCAAACAAATAAAACCCCAAGGGTAAATTGAAAGAATGACTTACCGATTTCATGGCTGCTGCCATATCATCATATCTCTCTGCAATATGATTTTATAATTTTATGCCATATAGACCCATCACATTACCCTCCACTGGATGTAGAATGAGCAGCATTAAACTACATTTTGGCATTTTACAATACTTATGTGGATATTTTGGATGAAAGTAACTCAAAAGTAACTCAAAAGTAGTGTAATGCATTACAATTCAGAGACAGTAATATTGTAATGTAACTAATTACTTTCAAAAGACAGTAACTAGTAATATATAATGTATTACATTTTGGAAGTAACTTGCCCAACACTGGTGGAGAAGCACCATTACTAACATTTTTTAAGGTAACACTTAAAACACTTTGTCCTTGTCACACATTACATGTACTTGCTCTTGCTATAGTAATAAATAAACAGTAAATTATGCCTATTGCATAAATGCATAAATTCTGACTAATTCTGACTAATATGTATTTCAGGTGTTTCTGACTATTCCAGCTTTACTAGTGACTAGTACATAGTCAAGTCAAGTCAAGTCAAGTTTATTTGTACAGCGCTTTTCACGATACAAATCATTGCAAAGCAACTTTACAGCAAATTAAGTTTCTACAATATTTAGTGGTAGCTTATCAGTGGTGACTGTCAATTAATGTACATATGGCAGAAATGTACGGAAAAATCAATTTAAGACGTAATAAAAAAGACGATGAACACTATTAACAGCAATTATAAAATAATTAAATGTGCAAAATAGCAAAATGTGGTAGTTCTGTATGTTGTTGTTAATTTAGTTGTTAATTGCTGAAAATGTTATCCAGGTTATTATCCCGATCCACTACTACTCAGAGATTGTCTTACTATAGGGAGATGAGAGGGTCTGCATTACTTACTAAAGCGAGAAAGCGTAACGGTCAACTTGGATCACGTGTGCCTTGATAACCAATCACTTTACAGTCTTGACGTCACTGAAAGCTTCCGTAAGCAGGGAAGGAGATCAGAGGCCGTTTTGTTTGAATTGATGTCAATGGAGGAGAAGCTTCACTATGCTGAATAAACAGCTTTTTAGAGGAAACAGCTTATCATTTAATGAATCG